TGACAACGTTGTACAGCAAAATTTATTCTATAAAACAATCAGATGATCTATGTGGTAAATAGCTGTGTGGTTACAAAGCCACTTATAGTTTCACCACAATTTTATCAGTATATTCTAAACCTAAGATATTAAAAAAATAAAATATAACTTGTAAAATTATAAAGCACTAAATTATAAATAGAAAATATTCTAAAACATATGGTAGCCAACCAAGGCGCCTTTCTAAGTAACAGGTCTGCCGTGTTCCCCCTCCTCCGCCTTTTTTTACTTGTTATTCTTGTGAGTAACGTCTTTCACACAACTTTCGAACACTGCGAAAATGCAGTTAAAAGATGTAACGAAGTATTACGGTTATTTACACCACACTAGGACTAAATTTTTGTGTACAGCCACTAGGCTTCGAGAATTCGCGTGGTTCTTTTTTTTTTTCGCGAACTTAGGAACCACTGCTCAAGACCGCCTTTAGAAAAAAAAAAAGAAACGAAAGTTTTCGCGTTTGCACTAGCCATGAGATGCCTCTCTCGCCCCGACCGGTGTTTCAGAAAGCGATGCTGCAACATTTTCTTGGAAAAAAATTTAAACTCAAGACTTATTCTTAACCGGGCCTCCTGACCTGAGCTTATTCACTTTGAAATTCTCATTATGCACATCATAATGATAACAGTAATGTGTATTAATAACAGTTCATGCTCTTTTTTTTTACAGAACGACAAGGCTTAGAGTTAGACTCCTATCTTCGGAAAAGAAGTTTCATAAATTTCTATCACCTAGCAAGATAAGATAAATGGGATACCCACGAGATCTTTGGCGTGGTCTGTACAAACAAGTTTGACTGTTCACCCTTCTAAATAATATCTAAAGAATGTCTATAAAAAGCATGGACGCTTGCGATCTAGCTTTCTATATTTTAGGCTATGGTCGTTCCTTTGCTAAGTGAGCAGAGTTCAACAGTGCAGCAGGAACAATGCAGTACTTCTCCTGACTGAACACGTTTTCAAACATACCGCGCTATAACATGGCATTTTTCCAACTCGCCGCAACGTTAACGTTATATGGTCCTATGCTCTGGCATGTCGTACATGCCATAAATTTTTATCCACCTACTAACCCGAACTAAACGGGCAACCTGACAATTTGATCCCCTGCTTAATTTTTTCCATCGACATTCCGTCGTTTTCGTTTTTAAATGTTTGGAATCATTGGTGTTCCTATGAATGGTTCATAAAATTTGGAACCTCAAAATTACGTCCACTTTTTTTTTCCTTCGACAAAAATCGGCGCGTGTTGCCGGACAGGAGTTTTTCATTTTTTGTTCTATGTAGTAAAAAAACTGTGCTTCAAAGATTGTGAAATGTAGAAAATTTAGAAATAGTTTGGAAACAATTGACTTTCTATGAGAACTATTCTGGCTACAACTCCTCCTGTTTAAATAGCATTTACCACCGATTTTTCCGCTGTTGTCCGGCTAACAGTAGGCCTTTTTGCGCAGATCCAGCGTATAAACAACGTTCGAAACGAAAAATTTGGAACGACTAGAACACACTCTACAGTAACGTGTCCTTTCATATCACCAAATAGCGCACATTGGGCTCTGCAAAATGAATTCGTTCAGTCACTGGCGAAAAAAAAAGAACAACACACATACACACACACACAGTACAGTCATTTTGGCACTGATATCAGTGATTCACTAGCAGTTGACACCGAATCACACCACTCACAGGTAACGTACAGCCACACACGCTCCATAGCTGTCGATGACCTGTGGCCGCAGATGCCAGGAAGTATGCGCGTGGACTTCAGCGAATGCGTCCTCCGGTCAATACCAATCTCAGCTGTACATGTCTTCTCAAGACCCTGTTCGTCCCTTCCATAGGGGCCCTCCTTGGTTTTTGACAGTCTTAATGTTCCGTATCGTCCGGACCATGTTCTCCCCACTCTTCTAAAAGCCAACACATCACTCACTAGGTGACCTCTGAAGCTCTCGCTTGTAATAGCTTCGGCTTAATAAACCTTATTCTAGGTGGTCATACCTTCCCTTTTTCGTGCGCTTTGTGTCAAACTTTTCACCCTCTTCTTTTACGTGGTTCACGACCGTCTTGCGTCTTTCGGGTCTCCTGTCAAGTTGGTCGGCACAAATCGTAGATTTCCGGTGTTCAGTACGTCGGCGAGTGTCTACAGGCTCTCGTAAAGGTGCGAAGGTAGAGAGTGATGTCACCTTACGCCATTTTTCAAATCTTCGCACATGCTTTATGCAAAGTTAGGTTGCTACTAGAACCATATATGCCCACCCTACTCTCAGTTCTCTTATTCTTAATTTATTCTGTCAGCATTAATCATGCAGGTTTCTCCTTAATTTATTTTATAAATCTTCCCCGTGCCAAAGGTACCGTGCTGATCCTTTAAAAGATCGAGTGCATCTGCTTCGCTTTTTTCAAGCGTCCACTGCGTTCGCAAGCGTTCACTCTCGTTTCATCAAGCCACTCCAGTGTTCTCAAGCGTCCGCTGCACACCGAAGCGTTCGTTTTGCTTTAAAGCGTTCACCGCGCGCTGAAGTACCCTTCGCACAGCCACCTTTGCATTGTGCACTCAACAGAGCAACGTGTGGGCTTTTTCGTTTTGGAGGCTAGAGTCACTGTCGCACGTTTATGCCTATGTCAAGCAGAACTTCCATCAATTTGGCTCGTCATCGATCGGTGGCGCCTGTCAGTTTACATCTCCGTCAGGTTCGAGTCTTCAGGTGTCCACGCCTGTGTGCTCTTTGCCTTTCCACGGGACGCAGCATACAGGCTCGTCATCGACGCCCGCGCCCGGCTTTGGCCGGCAGGGTCACGTGACGTAGGTGGCCGAACGCCCCATGCTGACGCTCGTGGTGCGCGTCCGGCTGAGACGCATGGTGGCCCCGCGCCACGGGGACGCCGAACCCGGGTGCATGCAACCGATCAGGGCTTCGCGGAAGGAGCCGCGGAAAGAGCGCGACATGAACCCGTACACGAGCGGGTTGACGCAGCTGTTCAGGTAGGACAGCAGGTGGAAGCAGGTGCGCAGCGGCTTCAGGTAGGAGTAGTTGAGCGTCGCGACGCCGCCAAACGCCGTGAGCACGTTCAGGATCAGGATGGGCGCCCAGCAGAGCACGAACAGGCAGACGACCAGGATGAGCATCTTGATCACCTGTGGAGGAATCGGAGAACAAACCAGCGTCGATCGATCGTTCAATCGGTAGAACGACCAACCAACAGGGGAGGACTACTATTCGAGACTCTCCTTTAATCTGACCTACGTCCACACAGAGTGCAGCGATATTCCAAGTGGCTGTGACCGGTTTGTTTCATAAGCCACTGGTTTGCTAGGTCACATATGGTGCGCAGGAATAAGTACATAACCACCGTAGGAGTTTCACGTAATCTGAACGAACAATACTTGGCCTTGTTTTCAGTAAACTACATATACAATGGCCTCTAAGTACATAGCCGCACCGCATGCATGTTTTATGTATATTGAGCCAATGTGTGCTCCTCACGTTGATACCCTCGTTATTGCTGTTGTTTATGTTTGGTGTATAGTTTGTGATAATTCGAATGCACTTAATCAAAGTAGTTGATCTAAGAAATGACGTATTTTGAATATTTGTTTAAGAATTAGAGTTTAATAGACAGAGAAGATAAACACCCGGTGAAGTTGCTTTTGTTGATTTTCTTTTTTTTTTCCTGACGAAAAAAAGTTGTTAGTTGAGTACGCAGCTAGGACTATTTACTGCACTGTCGACAAGAAACTCGGGGAACGACCCTACGCGGTCAAAACAGCCCACAGCACTATCAACAACCTGACGAACGGTGTCTTCGTCTGCTCGTGAAGCCTTGAGGCCACCGGCCGGATCACCGTTGGGCGCAAATGTGGTCTTCTTCTTGGGCTTCTTTTCAGTCATCTCGGTAGCCACCCTGGGGATTTGGTGGAGAAAACCATCTATGCACTTCTATCCACATGTGAAGTAAGTTTCAGCTGCATAATATATCGCGTATAAGACGTCACGTTAAAGCGCGTATGTATAAAGCAGCACGTGCCAGAAGAACAAGTGGGAGACTTCCAACAACTCTTAAAAAAAAAGAAGAGGAAGCAGTTCCATTATGATATTTCCCACACTGTGGATAACAGCACTCAAAAGGGCGTTACATGGGTGCTGTGAACGGAAGATTCTAATAATATCTTCGAAGAACTGGTCTGCTGAAAACTTGATACTGATTAATCATATCACAGCTAATCCAAAGGAAGCTTGTTGAACACGTACAGTGATAGACTACGCAACTTGCCTCCTTCTGAACTGTAACTGCCTACTTCCTGTAACGCTTCGCAGGACAGTCAACTTGAATAAGCCTATAGTTTAGTTAGCTGCAGTCTTGCCTTTCCCCTGACTCTTCACACTCTCGTTGCATGCAGTGCTAAACTGTGGGCGAGCTAGGAATGTCGCTTGGACGCATGCTCTGATAAAGAAGCTGTTCCTGCATGTAGTACAGTGTGCGTGATGAAAAACAAGCAATACAGTCGAAAGTAACTGCTCTATAAACCTTTCACAAAAGGTTCCCTGGCCGCCGCCCTAGTCCCCCACTGGACATTGGAAAGTAGGCGTTGGTCTCCTAAAAACGCAGTACTGAGGCAGTGACCTCAGTCTGCACTCCAGAGACGCAGTTCAGAAAGAAGGCTGTTTCTTCTCTTCCGTGAAAAGGTCTATAGAAATCAAGCTTTCTTTAGCGACACCTCCACAAGTGGGCACTGCGAATGTGACGAGATGATAGAACACATACTGATCGTAGCAGCTCACAGTTCTTCGCACATAGCCGAGCTATATAGACAACGGAATGATTTTAGAGGAAAGGATTATTCAAAAAGGTTCTTTCAGAGGTCCGTTTAGAGGAAAAGGTCCGCAACCCTGCAATGCGATGCGGGCGTCGCCACTCTTTATAAACACGACAGGGCTAGCTGATCGATCGTGGGTGCGTAACGGACAGGCCCACAGTATACCATGCGAATGACACTTTCTACTGTTTTATTTCTCTTTTTTTTATCATTTAACCCACTTTCACCGAAACAAGGTTGCAAATCGTACTTCCGTCTTGTTGACCACTCTGTCATTCTTTTCTCTCCTCCTCCTTGATTATAAGACGCTTCTTCGACACTACTACCTCAACTAGGTTGAGGTCGCGTTGGGCTGCAGATCAACGCGACGCGAAGCACTGCTGCCGCCGCACGGATTCACTCACGAGCTTCCCGTGGTGAGGCTGGCGCGTTCCCGAACGACCATCCAGAGCTGGACGCAGATCTTGGTGTAGGCGTAGCCCATGACCAGGGTGGGTATGCACAGCACCAGGATGAGCATGTAGATCTCGAAGGAGCGCCAGGCTCCGGGACTGGCCTCGTCGCGCATGCACCAGTAGGCGCGACGGTGGACGCCCATCTCCACGTGAACCTGGGCGCGGGAAGAGAGACTTCGAGTTTCGCGCCACGATAATCGTCGGACAGCCATGCTATAGACGCTTTCGCTGTTTACAAACACAGATAGGGAAAAAGTTTTAGTTCCTTCAACCAAGAGACAACCACTTCACTTCAAGCCCGCGAGGCGGCTGAGGAGCTTGGCATCTCAGTCCCCACGTGGGAGCTGCCCGCAGCACAGTGATCTGTGTTTTGGAGGACCAAATAAAGTTTATCCAATCCCATCCAAACCACTTCACTGGTCAATAGGAAGGAAAATAGGAGGAAAAGAATGGCAGGGAGGTTACCCAGCCTATAGGCAGCCGGTTTGCTACCCTGCGCATGGGGGGGGGGGAGATGGGGAAGATTAACTGGTCACTAAGATTGCGCATACATGAGTATATCTGCTAACGCTTCAACACATACTAACAGAAGAAACATGCTTATAACCTATGAAACTCTAACCCGTAAATCAGACAAGCTTTCTGTACGACTTCACAATCATAGCTTAAAAGAAAAAGAAAAAGAAAGTTACGGGGAGACTTTTCATATGCAGGCCCTGTGTGTTTGGAAAAAGTGCTTAACGATTTAGAGTACTCGGTACTCTACTATGGGAGAGCTGAAAGCCTTTCCTTGGGCATCCCCACCTTAATAAGGGTTAACACCATGATAAAGAAAAAGTATGCAGATCCTTGGCGATACCTGGTAGTGCTTATATCCGACGTGCCTTAATAGCATCGGTCGACAAGAATAGCTTTAGAAAATAGCCCCCTGATTTTCTACAGTTTCCTTCCATTGTTTGGCAAAATATATTCAAACAAATGTTCTTTTGAGCTACATAAAAGCTATAAAATATTCCATTCTAATTAATGCACGTTCTTTTTATGTGAAAAACTAAAGAGAGACTTACCTTACCCTTGAAAAGAACTGTAAAACGTGCTTTCAGTTTCGACGCTAGGAGCTGGTAAATGAGGTGACCGGAAGTTTTTTTGGGGTACAACGTTTGCAAGTCCTTGAAACCGTCTGCAGGCCCGCGAGCGTATGCGATCGGCCAGCGCAATAACGCAGGTCATTGTCGTCGTTTGGCACCACCGTCTGAATCACCGTTTCGAGCGTCATCATCACCATCATTTAATTCGTATTTGGTTGAAGCGGCACACATGGGCCTCCTCGTCCCGCTTGCGCTGCTGCAACCAAAGATGTAAGCCTACCAACACGCCAAGGATTTTCTTCTTACCACCATTTAGTGTCATTGTCATCATTATCGTATAGCGTCGTCATCATTAGCGCCTCTGGTAGGGATGCGGGGAACTTGACGCCAGTCAAGAATTTGCAGTCAAATTATGCGTATAGCAATATACGCCTCAGTGTTGACCGGTTGCCAAGGTATGAACTCGTTGGAAGAGCTGACCATACTGCTAGTATTGTTCGGCACAAATGTATTTTTGTTGCTCGGGTAATTCTTTTTTATATCTGCGCAAATTTAATGCAGAAGGAGAATGATAACACAGCGTGTTTGACTTAACAGCGAAGCCACGATTGATAATATTGCGCAGTGGTTATAAGATAATATTGCGATCAGTGGTTAGCGCAGATCATAGCATCTCTGTTCATGCTTCTTTGATGTAATAACGAATTCGAACGTGTAGAATGCAGCATCGAAAGGCCACATGGAGAATATTCATAAAACAGTTGGCGGACTCAGGGAAGGGGAGGAAGCACAGAAAAATGCAATACATAAACAGGCTGCACTCTATTAGGAGGTGTTTGAAATGACAGTGTAATATACTGTTCAGTCACCGTTATAGTCCATTTATAATTCTGGTGCACAAAGAACGCACGGATAGTAAAAACAGAAGAAAAAAAAACGCTTAGACAAAGTTCCATGCCAATCTCTTCACTGTTCGCGCGCATACTGTGTGCTACGAAGGTGAACTGAAATACCAACATGGCCGAAGCTTTTACGTTTAAGGTAGTAGAAGGAAAGGAAACAGAAACAGAAGGACAGGAAGGTTAGCCCATTCTCAGACCGGCTGGCCACCCTTCGCGTGAGGTTTGGTACACAGATTAACTTGTCATTGTTATTTTTGCTTCCCTCTTTCGGCAGATTTGATCATAACGTAAACATAGCGTGCGTCCTTTATTTTGGTCAAAAGCAATTTAGAAATAATTCCTCATTAAAGCAAAACGTAAATTTATTTGAATTTCGCGGCCGTAATTTTATTACGGCAAAGTTCGTACCATAACGTAAAGGTGTATCCCCACCTGCACGAAGATGATGGGCAGAGCCGTGAGGAAGGCGGCGACCCAGATGAAGATGATCACCCGACGCGCTTGGCTGAAGGTGCACAGGTAGCGTGAGCGGACGGGGTGGATCACCGCGTAGTACCTGCGCAGTAAACGAGAAAAAAATTAATTCCTTCAGGGTTTCAGGTGCAGGAATGACGCAAAGCCCACGTCTGGAGAGAGAGTGCATGGTCTCATACAATGAAATTACTAAACACTACCGATTAGGGAGGCAGCATTACCCTCCACCACATTCCTCATTAAACAAACAGTAGGCGACAGCATGGCGCCTATAACAAACAAGCACCTTCCCAAACCCGATTGATTACAGTCATTGCTATCCAGATCTCTACTCCGACAAATGTAAACTCTGCAATCGGCGGGTGGACCTCAAACACATTATCTGGGCTTGTCCGAACCTCGCGAAGGGGCCAAACACCAAATATTTCAACGCACAGCAGTGGGAAACCGCGCTACTTAGCTTAAACATCCAGGTCCAGCTACAAGTTATCAGGCAAGCCGAAGATGCCATTAGGGCCCAAGGACTCTTAGCTGCCATCTAGGGGAGAGGATATAATTCCTCGGAAACTTGCCGTATTGAATGAAGTTCTCTCTCTCTCTCTCTCTCTCTCTTTTTTTTAATTCGGATAAATAAGAGCCCGGCGTCTTCATCGGTTGACAATATAGACAAACGCTGCAAGATGGCGCGAAGGTTAGTCCTTTCTGCGTTCATTCAGTTGAAACAAACAATTTACCATGCGTGTTACACAGACAACAAGTATTTTAGAAATTTTACGGTAGACGTTTGTATAGCAAATCAAAGGCGTTTAACAAATAAACTGAGACAATGAGTATACAATAATAAGGAGATTTAACGGAAAATCATGCTAAGAAAAGTATAAGGGGTAGTATTAGATGTAATGTGAATGTGAAGAAAATTGGAAAGGTAACTCGCCATGGGCAGTGACCGACCTGAGACTTTCGAATAACGCGTTCGATAGCACTCCCCTCCCTCCTAGAGACTGTGTCAGCTCCCACCCCCCCCCCCCCTCATTCCAGCGCTCATAGTGCACCTCCTACCCAACCAATTACGGCAAACTTGGGAAACCAGTTCGAGCACACAATAACCGTATTTATGTTTTGAAGGTGTTTTATTTTCTTAATAAAGAAAGTCATGACTACAGCCCCTTCTCCGATGTTACTTCAGGTGACCGCCCCCCCCTTCCTAAAATTAGGGGCTGGATTCGCCCCTGTACCCGGTTTTCTACCCTACGTGGGGAAGGGGAGAAAATAACAGAAAAATAACAGAGAAGCCAAGACAGAAACAACAAGCAATACGCGCACGCACGCACGCACGCACACACATACACACACACACACACACACACACGCGCGCGCACACACACACACACACACACACACGCGCGCGCGCACACACACACACGCGCACACACACACGCGCACACACACACACACACACACACACACACAAGTGTTCACCGCGCGCACGCAGTCACAACTGGGCAATATTTGAGATCGGTTCCTCTGCAGTTGTATGAATGTAGGGTAGTATCCGAGATTGGGGGGGGGGACGAAAAAAGGCTTGAAAAAACTGGCTCTATGGAATCCTGAACATGCAGGGCGCACATGAGCTGACGGAGTTGTTCATTCCGTTCAGGAAAGGGCCCATGTAATCACAACGAGGACTAGAAGGTTTTCGTCATGACAATAATTTGTGGACGATGAAGCGAATAATGGGACATTCCGTATCTGCTCTTTAGGAGTGCGCTGTGGTGCCAGTGAGGGGCCATCCGTAGCCGCTTGCAAAGCCTCTGCGTCTTTACGGATCTCCTATTGGGACTCGGTGGTGGTGGCAGGGGTGGTAGCTGTCGCGCTTGAGAGATGTCTGACGGCCTGTAGGAGTATGCATGCTGTGGCGTGTGAAGCTTCAAGGTATTAAGGTCCCTAGATAACACGGCATGGTGTATTAAACTTTGAAATAGCTTCATATTAGGCGTAGTTGGTAGATACTTTTTCAGGCGAACGAAATCTATCAGCACGAACCAGGAGGGACCCCAAAAGGATAAGATCGGGCGTTATTGCTGTGCTTGTCCCATCCCTTCGTTGTTATGCGTCCTGGTTTGCAATGATGTTATCGTTTAAGAGTGCACTGAAAACTCTGAATTTTGTTAATGTTAAAATCTTTTAAATTAACTACGTCTCGGTGGGCGGTTCAGAAAGCTATAGCTTCCTGCTCGCTCAAACAAAAAGAAAAAGAAAGAGATAATTGTTCGCTGGCTCAGGGTCAACATCTTTCTTGAGCGTTACGATATACAAGTCCCGAGTGATTAATTCCGTCTTCCGTAGCTTTTGTAGGCGGCAAGAGACGCTCAGCCAGGTTGGCTCCCCACTGCGTGTGTGTCACAACGAGAGTCCAGCGCCCTCGGCTTGGCCAAGGACGCAAATGAACGGTGGATAGTCGGACCGCCAGGGAGAGCGCAGCATTGCGGGCGTGCGCACAACGAATGACTTTCGAAATCGCTAGGTTTTCCCTTAATTTTGCCCATTCATTAGTATATATTTAGAAATTGTCACCCTTCTTCTCGCAGGTGTGTGTTAAATGAAATGCAAAACACTGGGAGGTTTTCTCGAAAACAGATCAAAAAGGGGAAAAAAAGCGAAAGCAATTGCCCTATTGAAAAAAAAAAGGAGGGGGGCGCAAGCAGTGCTGTGTGTGCGTGCCTGCACCACTTTTTTCTTTCCTTCCTTCTTTCCTTCCTTCTTTCCTTCCTTCTTTCCTTCCTTCTGTCCCTTCAATCGTTTATTCCTAACCTTCTTTATATTGTTTCTTCTTTCCTTCGATCATTTGCGTCAATTTTTTTTTCTTTCCTTCTTTCCTTCCTTCTCCGAACAGTGAAGCTATTCTTAGCCGAGTCTTTGATTTCCCGCCGGGCCCGTCGCATAGAGCGAGAACGGGTAGGTTCCACGACTCACGATTCCTTCGTCTAACCACTACGCCCACTACTACATCCACCACTCCTTCGACTTCACTCACACACTTCTTTTTCACTTGATTCGTTCCCGCTTCATTCAACTTCACTCCATCCGAATTTCACGTCATTCAACCAGCCAAAATAATCGGCGAAGCGAAATCTTCTTTTTCATTGAGCCATCAGCAGCGCTGCTTCACCAGTGTTCACTGCGTGTAGCTGATTAAATGCCCGGAATCACACCGTTGTCATTCACGTGCTAAGCAAACCAACACTTAGATTCTACAGATGGCAACGACGGGGATGTGTTGATATCTATACTCTGTTTCAGAAGTGCCCGCCAGCACTGTGGAGGCTACAGGGCCCCAGCCAATAGAAAAGGCGATCAGCTCCTCCACATGTATTCATCCGTGCCATGTCGTCTGCTCGCCGTCTTCACGGCGACTGCTCGCTTAATTGTCCTTGCACGCTCAATGGACGTAGCTTGGGTGGATTATTAACTTTGAAAAATAAGTAAAGCTGTCAGACAAGTCATTACACTTTAACTTCAGGAAGTTTGGCGTCTTAACAATATGTTTGTAATGTAAATATATTGTAATTATAATGAAGAAGGAAGACGTTGACATGATACGCTCAACTATCATCACCACGAGAAGGAGGCACGAGATCGGCGATGGAGCACCGTCATCTTGGCCCGCCTGCGTTCTTTTCGAGCTACCACCCGCTTGCTCGGCTCGTTCGATAAATTCCCTTTACAATGATAATTTCTGCGTATACATATTTCGCTCTGCTATTTTTCATCGTTCTTCCGAGAACCTTGGTATCCGCTAAACTATTGCGAGAAATTTTGTGCTAATTGTTCGTGCTGACGACAATGAGGAATTACGCCTGAAGTGCATATGGGCCACAATTAATAGCTGAACAAAAACAAGCTTTTGTAATGGGTTCAAGCATTGGACCCACTCGTTAGGCTACTCGCATTGTGAGGCGCCTGGTTCTTCCTTTGCTGTTCCTAAGCGCTTCATTACTCATATTAACGCAATTCTTTTCCCGACATCAAGCCTGCCTAAGGCAAGTTTGCGAACAAGTCACAAGCACCGGCGTGGCTCAATTTGCAGTTGTTCATTAAAGTCTTTTTAGCTTTTATGATCAACTGCAACTTGAGACGCACCAATGCTTGGTTCATGAAGTGTGCTACTCAAATACCCCTTTAGACATTGTGTTATGAGATTTACTTTGTAAAGTCCAATGTAAATTTATCGATTTGACCTTATGTATGAAGTACGCTGTGTATATACGTAAGCGGCATTTGTATTAAATACCACGCAAGAAAGAAAAAAAAAGCACTGGCGTCGCTCAGTGGTGGAATCATCTGCGCTGGCACGCAGAGAACCCAGGTTTAAGCCCCACTGTGTCCTTGGTACTAGGTTCTATTTTTAATTTTGCGATAGTAGTTACGAACAACGGCGGCGGCGGCGGACATCAGCCGTGAGTACCTTGCTGAAAGCTAGGACTGATATCTAATGCGTGACGATAAGGCCGACAGCTTCGCTGTCCGACGATTTTCTCAGCGCGGAGCAAGCTCGAATTTTTTTCGTCCACCCTCCTTTCTCTTATAATTATTATGCTACAATTTTTGGGTGAAAATACCCTCCCCCCCTTTTTTTCGCATGATTTCCATGGCTACATCTTTCGTTGGTGCGCATAATAAAAACAAAATCGCAGCATATCTTCCCCACGCAGTCAATGATGATGAGTGGGGCGAAGCGTTCGTCCATCCGTCCGTCTATCTATCTATCTATCTATCTATCTATCTATCTATCTATCTATCTATCTATCTATCTATCTATCTATCTATCTATCTATCTATCTATCTATCTATCTATCTATCGCTTAAGTCTGTGTGCTCTCGTGATCGCCCTCTTAACTTGGGGTAAATGACGAGTCCGAATCACTGGTGAAGACATGAATAATGTCCCGATCCCGTCGCGTACGTCATCAAACACTTTCATCCAGACAATGACACATACCCGAAGGCAGGTATACGTGCCACTGGTATGCGGGTATGTGCTACGGGTGATTGAAACTTTGCCTATAAGAACGGCGAGAACTGACATGCGTAATTGTTACACATCCACTGCGCTCACTCGAGGGATGAAATAATGAATGTAAGGCTCCCAGCAGGAATCTAACCTCAGCATTATGCGGGAAAATCAAGTATTCTACCACAGAATCACGCCAGGTCTCTAAACTATTTTTTCAAACAGACTCCAATGTTTGTGAAACGTCAATACCTGTCCAATAATTCACCCTAGTGCTGCGATTCCTGGCTTCATGTCCAGCTCACATGATAGACCAAAGTGCTCGAAACGAATAGGCTCCGGGTTGAAATTTTAGACTAGGATGACTTTTATCGGATGACGCAGCGAGCAATGGAAAGAAAAATGGTAGGTGTAACCTTAAGAGACAAGAAGAGAGCAGAGTGGATTAGGGGACAAACGGGGGTTAAGGATATCATAATTGAAATAAAGAAGAGGAAATGGACATGGGCCGGGCATGTAGCGCGTAGACAAGATAACCGCTGGTCATTAAGGGTAACAAACTGGATTCCCAGAGAAGGGAAGCGGGTTAGGGGGAGACAGAAGGTTAGGTGGGCAGATGAGATTAAGAATTTTGCGGGTATGAATTGGCAGCAGCAAGCACAGGACCGGGTTAACTGGCGGAACATGGGAGAGGCCTTTGTCCTGCAGTGTACGTAGTCAGGCTGATGATGATGATGATGGTGATGATGGTGGTGTGATGATGATGATGATGATTATGATGATGATGACTTTTATCGTCCCAGCGAGAATCTAACCCAAGAATTTCGCGTGGCAATCGAGGATTCTACCACAAAGCCACACCAGGTGTCGAAACTACTTTTCCAACAAACTCTGACGTCCATAGAACGTCGATATCGGTTGCAGTGCTGGCTATCCAATTGTATAAGCATTACACATGTACTCCTATGATACAGCCGTCATGTCGGGTTAACGTCAATTGCAGTTAGGCGCCATTCGCTACAGTTGATTAATGTAGCAGTGTCCAGGGCTACCATCCTCGAGAGCACCGGCGCTTCACATCAGCCTACGCTTCTGGTGTTGCTAATAGGCATGTTTCTGTTAGCATCGTTACGCGAATGTAAACAACCGGCTATATAAAACCCTTGCGGCTGCTTAACGTACGTCTGTGCATTCATTTGTGCATATCTATAGCACCACTTCCGTAACGTTTCGCTCAACAAATCATTCTCAGTCGTTCTCAGTGTTTCCTTCATAACTGTGAGAATCGGTCAATCCACTTGGCGGACGCAACAGCTCTTCCACGAATTTTGCTTTAGACTATAAGCAAGCGCCCTGCTAAGCTAAGCTCCGATTTCTCAAAGCCGTTCCTTCTCGCAGTATCGGTTACCGATTGGCGATGCATCGGATGGAAACACGCACTCTTGCAAGGACACGGAGAAAGGCGAGGGCGTCGATACCGATACACCTGCGATCCGCTATGCGAATCCAAACACCTGGATCCAAACTTCGCAGACCCACTCAGTGCTTGTCACCGCTCGTGTCTCGGACCCTCTTTATTGTGTTTCCAAAGGCTTTTTTTTTTTGCTTTGCACATTGTGACGACCTTACACTGTGGTCCTCTTACAAAAGTGAATATCGTCGCGGGGAAACCATCGAGCGTTTTCTTTTGTGAAGACCGCGGCAGGCGTCGTCACCGAGTCATACGCGTGCACCAGTTTGCTATAGCGGCTATAGTTGGCTCGTCTCAGCTGTACCGATCGGTGTGTTAATGAGTGACACATGATTGACACTGAACATTCCATGTCGCAGCAATCGATTATGCGCTTATATATGGAAAGTGGTTGACGATAGAGAGCACGTTATAAGTACTCTACTACGGGAGAACACTAAGCCGTCCCATGTGCTAGGAGAAATAGTTAACGATCTAAAGTACATGTACTCTACAACGGGTAGAGCGGAATGCCACCCCTAAATACGTTTGCGGGCTTAGAAAAAGTGGGCAACGATTTAGAGTACTCGGTACTTTACTATGGGAGAGCATCAAGCCGTCCCGTGTGGAGCATAGTTAGACAGCAACGTTAGCTTTTTTTGTGACCTCAAGCACATCGACAGTGTTTCATATGGCTGAGTTTGCTGTATACAGATGCCCGTATGCATGTCTCTGGTTTTGGGTCGGAAACTTGAACGCGCCGGCGAATTTCGTCGAGGGTTATGACATCGCTGTTCATCCAAACGTAATGTTTTGGGCAGCAACCACGAGCATTTAACACCCGTGCCACACGAGACCAGAAAGTGCAATTAACTTCAGGTTTAATGTCAGTTGCATGCCATCACACAGGATAACCAAACGACATCTACCTAAATGCTATTCGTCTCCTAATGCCTACGATAGAACTCATTCAACTGACAAATGCCTACCCTCGACGCAAAGACTGCTCAGTGCATGACACAAAGTATCGAAAATAGCATCTATCGCGCGAAAAAAAAAAACATTTTATACGTGGCTTTCGAGTTGTTTGCATTTAATGACTTTTTTGTCGCCTTCATTCGTCAAAGAACTGTATTCCGGCGCTGAAATATCACAACGAGCACACAATCTTTTTAGACCCCTTCAGTGAGGGCGACGTAGTTTCCTCCTTCAGTAAACTCTATAACAGCAAATCTGTCGATGCGTTGGGGATGCAAATCACACCAGTTAAATATGTCGTAGACATGATCACGCACTGCTTAGTTCCCGTTTTTAATATATGCCTTACAAGCGGAGGGTTTTCACGCGAAATGCAATGTGCGAAAGTGCTTTATTCATAAGAAAGGTGACAAAAACATTTTTTTATAATTACTGTCCTATTTACGTTCTGCCAGTCTTTCTTAAAGGACTAGAGAAAATAGTACTTAAACAAGTCACATCCTTCGCCGACCGTTATAAGATTCCAAGGCCCGTATAATATGGCTTCCAAAAAAAAGAAAGAAAACAACAGAGCTTGCCCTCCTTGCAAAAAAGAATATATGTACCTGAAAATTTCAAAAATCGCAACCATTGTTTAGAATCTATATATGAGCCGACATATGAAAACTCGTAGTAGGATAGTCGGGTTGAACAGCAGAAGAGGGTTAACCCTCTTAAAACTAACACGCCGAGGATGGCAAGGTGCCTTTAACGAAAATAGGTCCTCATATCGAAACGTCGGCCAGCCTGTCTGAGGCACTTCTATAGTCAACCTGACTTTCTCAACGTTTTTTAGGTGTTTTCTTAGATTTCACGAAGGTATTTGGTAGCCTCAGCCATCATATTCTTCTGCAGAAGCTTCATCACTACGGTATTAGGGGTAATGTCCACTCCTTAATATTATCTTACCTACAACACTGCTCACAGTATGTAGAAATTAATGGACACGCATCTTTCTCAAGAAAAAGTAATTTAGGTGCACCTCAAGGAAGCTTCCTAGGCCCGTTTTTATTTCTTTTTGTACGTTGACGAAATTGTCAGTATTGATCACACGGTAAAGTATGTCATCTACGCTGATGATACGAGCTTTTTTTTTTTCGCTGGTCGCTCCGCTTGTTAGCGGATTATACCAACGCCACACTTCAATTTATTCAGCAATGGTCCCTAGATAATCACCTGGGGTTGAATGTTGCAAAAAAGAAATCCTTGACGTTTCACAATCATCATAAAAAGTGTCTCGCGTGTCCACTTTTTAATGGTGCATCAGTTGAATACATCCGTTCTTTGAAACCCTAAACATATATTTTTCCGCAACAATGTCATGGGATACACATGTTGATTTGCTGGTTAAAAAAAACATTCTCGTACTATAGGACTTTTGCACTGAAGCAGTACAACGTTACTGGTTGCAATAAATGTATTCCTCTACAACTCACTTTTCTCTTCTACTCTGAAGTATGGTGCTCTTATGTGGGGCACAACCACAACTGCAAATATTAAAAAATGATTTCTATTACAAAAACTAGTTGTTAGACTAGCGTGCAAGGTGCCTATAAGTACGGTTTAAATATTTAAGTAATGTCTCCTATACTTCTCATAGCAGATGGAGGACTCAGGAGTGCCAAAGTAGTATAAAATTTAATGAGCAAACAAGAAAAGAAAGCTGCAAACAATTTTTTCAGCGAAGTAGCGGAATCAAATTCCGGCCCCGTTGACCGCATTCCAATGGAGGCGATAGGCTAGAGGCTCGTTTACTAACATTTTGTGGTGCACTTTAAAGAGACCCAGGTGGTCGAAATTCCCGAAGCCCCCCGCTACGGCGCCCCTCATTGTCATATTGCGGTTTTGGGGGCGTAAAACACCAAAAATTACTGAAACATTTCTCCACTCGCCTCTCGATGCTGAGGAAGGTGAGGTTGAGCACCGAGCAGATCATGGAGACGTGCTGGACGTAGAGGAGCAGCTTGCAGCCCACCTCGCCCAGCGTCCAGGTGTACGAGAAGAGCTGGCCGAACTTGACGGGAACGCAGAGCAGCACGATGAGCAGGTCGGCCGAGGCGAGCGACGCGAGGAACAGATTCGAGATGGAGCGCATGCGCGGGAACCGGGCCACCGTGTACACGATGAGCAGGTTGCCCACCAGCCCCAGCAGCAGGGTGGCCCCGTACACGGCCGCCGTGGGCACCAGGTCGGCCAGGTCGAAGCGCCACGCCGACTCCTCGTAGTCGTAGTCCTCGGGCATGCCTTCCTCGGGAAACAAAGCGAGCTCCTCGCTCGAGTTGGTCTCCTCCATGGCCCTGTTTCCCCGCTCCTGCGTAGGGAATGTGAAGTCGCGCTGGATGACCACCGTGAGATTAAAAAAAAAAGGGAACCATGTGAATCAAGGAGTTTATAGTATAAGCTCCTTGATCTGAATCATCATCATCATCATCCTCCTGTGCTTCCTACAGCCACGTTGTATCCGCACGCTTCTTAATCTCATCCGCCCCACCTAACTTTCCGTCTCCCTCTCGTGCGCTTGCCTTTTCTTGGAGTCCAGTCAGTTACCCTCAATGACCAGCATTTATCCAGCCCTACGCGCTACGTGCCCGGCCCACAAAACGGCTCACAAAGAGGGTTCAACTTAAACTGCAGGACGACGCAGCGAACGGTGCAAAACAAAAATGACAGGTGTAACCTCAAAAGACCGGGAGACAGAAGAGAGGATCAGGTAACCAACGGGGGGGGGGGGGGGGGGGGGGTGAAGAATATCGTAGTTGAAATAAAGAAAAAGAAATGGATATGTGCTCAGTCAACAACCATACTACGGTAGGAAGTCAATCATTTATATATGTACGCATTAGGACAGGTTTAGAAGCGTCTTTTGCCGGTGCTGTTTGAAATAGGCGTGCGTGACTAATTAAGCTCTCGTTTGCGACAACCTTTCTCCTTGTAGCTTTTTAGTATATGCTTACTTAGCAATTATGTGCGCATTCAAAAAAAAATCTATTCCTCCGTTCATCACCCGTCACGTGATACTAATCGCTTTAAGCGAGTAAACTTAAGACACAAAATAAGGTTTTGCTTCTCTGGAATAAACGCCAACGCTTGCAGAGGGTGAATATGTTGATCGGGACCATTTCAATGCGCTGTAGCGACGATTCAAACCAATCTTAAAAGAATACTCGTTGGCTCTGCAGGACTGCAATCTGAAGCTTATCGCTCTTCTGCTTTGTCCATCTGTCATTTATTTCTTCCGGCAGTCCCTTCTAAGAGCTGTCGGCCTTTTGCTCGCTGCCGTTCGAGTGACGTCGTTAACTCATTCTCGGTGTAATTTTTGTCGACATGGCCTCATCATTCCGGGCAACGATTCGGGGCCAACGGGGTTGCGAAAAACAGGGACGCGCCTGCCACGTACAACGAAATAACAAAATATTTTTACCTCGCTCGGAGACTATATCCACTCCCTCATCCAAATCTTAATAGGCCACAGGCCCTTACGCTCAGACTACTGCAGACCGACACGTACCCTAACCTGAGATCCCTTCACGCTATTTATCCTGACGTGTTTCCCAATGACGCTTGCCCCGCATGTGGGGATGTATCCACGCTGGCGCACATGCTCTGGGAGTGCAAGACAATGTACACTAACCCCAACACTACATCGGTCAGGTGGGAGGCGGCCCTACGCAGCTCCCTCCTGGCCGACCAACTTTGGGCCGTCCAGCAGGCCCACGGAGCGGCCGATAGGCTTGGCCTAGCGGTCCCGACGTGGGAGTCGCCCGCTGCGCGCTGACGCGCGCCTTGCAGGACCTCAATAAAGTTTCGCAACCAAATGGCCTCATCAAGTGTGAGACCCACGGGACGGCTTCATGCTCTGCCATGGTAGAGTACCAAGTATACTCTACCATGGCAGTATTACACGGAACGGGAGCAATGCAAAGAAGGTGTGGCAAGTAGTCAGAGATGTTACAGGCATAGGCCAGACAAAACGCATTCTTCCAGATAACATCTCCTCAAAGGTTGCAGAAGATTTCAATGCATATTTCACTAGTATTGGTGCTAACTTTGCTTCACAGTTTTGCTCGTCGATATCTGCTCCTTCTCTCCCCAAATTAATTGATAATGATTTCAACCTTGCAGCTGTCACAACAGATGAAATCAAATCTGTCGTGGCTAAGATGCCGGTCAATAAAGCCACTGGTGATGATAGAATACCAGTTAAGGTTATTAAAGATAACATTAACCTTCTTTGCATTCCGATATGTCATATTTTCAACCATGCATTTACCTGTCGTATATATCCATCTAGCTTAAAAAACGCCAAAGTAGTTCCTGTATACAAATCAGGGGACTCAAACAACCCTGAAAACTACAGACCGATCTCGGTTCTAAGCTGTCTTAATACACTTTTCGAGAAAATAATTGTCCTTCAATTAAAACGCTTTCTGGTTGACAACGACATCATATGCCCACAACAGCACGGATTCGTTCCCGCTAGGTCTACTGCTTCAGCCATTCTAACCCTCTCGCACAATATAATCACCGCGCTCCACAACGGTGAAATCGCAGTAGCAGTCTTCCTAGATATTAAAAAGGCATTCGATACAGTTCCCCATGACATACTATTACAAAAACTTGAAAGTTATGGCTTCAGTGACAGTTCACTCCAGTTCTTCTCAAGCTACTTGTCCTCGCGCAAACAAAAAGTGGTGATTAACAATAACGAATCAGCATACAGCACAATAGTGTGTGGAGTGCCCCAGGGATCCGTATTAGGCCCGGTACTTTTTTCTCTGTACATAAATGATTTCCCCAAAACACTAGTGTACTCTAAAGCATTAATGTACGCGGACGATACCGCCATAGTATTCACAGGAGATAGTCTCTCAACACTGCAAGCCAACATAATGTCTGAATTGACAAACGTAAGCAACTGGTTTATACAGAATAAATTGACACTACATTCGGGGAAAACGAAGTATGTTGTTTTTCGATCAAGGCGAAAGGATATTGACACGGCATCTATGCAACTTTACCTGAACAACACTCCTATCGAACAAGTGGTTTATTTTAAATATTTAGGAGTGTTTTTTGACCAGCACCTTCACTGGGAAGAACAAATTCATAGTGTTTGTAGAAAGGTGGCTTATGGTTGTTATACCTTAATCAAAGCACGCGAATGCTTTCCCCCCAGCGTGCTTCGAACATTGTATTTTTCCTTCTGTCATTCACATACTAGTTACTGTATTGAATCGTGGGGTGTAACGTATACGACATACCTAGAGCCATTACTACGACTACAAAAAAGAGCCCTAAGCATAATAGGTGGAAACCATGGAAATTCATATAAAACTACATTTCAGGAACAACAAATCTTATCAGTTTGGGCACTTCGCGATTATAGGGTTGCCCTTTTTGTTCAGCAAATTATAGGCACTAGCTTTCTCCTCTCCTCCACTCTATTTACAATACCATCGCGAAACACTAGACACGCATCGAATGGCAATTTTAACTTACCTACAAGCTATAACTTATATGGAAAACGCTTATTGGAATTTCATGGGACTAATATTTGGAACCGACTACCCTTAGAAGTTAAAGTGGCAAGAAATTTTAAGCACAGTGTGAAATTATTTTGCTTGCAGCATCAAGACATATAAATAGGTTTTTTTTTTTTCACTTTCTTCTGCGCTAATTAGTGCTTTTACCCAGTAACTTATTATATATGACGATGATGATGAAACAAACTATATTTGGGTATGTCGTGAAAATGCATATATGTACACGCGCTTATGTATGTAGTATGTATGTGCATATGTGAATAGTTATATGTATAAATAATTGTGTATATATGTGTTTATTGCTAAATATGCTCTACTAAGCTGCTTTTATGTACTCCGATATGGACCGATCACTAGCCAATGTAGGCTAACGGTCCAGATATCTTGTAATCTTTTCTTTGGTTTGTAATAAAAATCATATTGATTGAAAAAAAAAAACACCGGGAAAAAAAATCGTTAAGAAGCGGCACCCGTTTGTCTCTCGTAGTAGTCGTAGTCGTAGTGTGTAGCCAATCTTACGTTTTGACCTCCAAGGTGGTACCGGTGGGAGATTTCTCCTGAGCGTTGTTGAACAATAAAAAATTCGCAGCGTGCGCGTTAACTAAAAGCCGAATTCTCCTGTCTCTCATTTTCCCTTAGCGCCATCAGCATGTACATTAAGCACTATCTGACAAGAAAGGGTTGCTACGTTATACTCGCTGGGCGTAACCTTTTTGGTTTTAGAAAGGTTTAGCGAGCGTTGAGTTGCAGTGCCATGAATACAGTGAACTAGCATATACCATGAACTCAAGGTGGTTAAATGTGGGAAGTAGATACGAAGCGCAAGCCGTAAGAAAGTAAAAGCCGAATTCTCCTGTCTCTCATTTCCCATTAGCAGCCATTGGCACGTACATTGCGCACTATCTGACAGGAAAAGGTTGCTACGTTTTACTAACCTCCTTGGTTTTAGAAAGGTTTAGCGAGCGTTGGGCTGCAGTGCCATGAATACAATGAGCTAGTATATACCATGAACTCGAGGTGGTTAAAGGTGGGAAGTAGATACGAAGCGCAAGCCGTAAGCAAGTGTGCGTGCGCCAAGTCTCGTTTAGTCCTTGCAATGTCCGTTGGATGGCGCTGCTTCTACATGGGGAATAAATGATGAAAAGATGCGGGATGGTGGTACTTGGATGTTGAATAGATGGACGAACGGACACACAGACAGATGCATGGATGGACGCATGAACACACGCAGCGGCGGATGCATGGACGAACGCAGGGACGGATGCACGTACAGACGCACGCATGGACGGGCGGATGGACGCATGGACGGTCACACAGACGGACGCATGGACGGACGGAAGCAAGAACGAATGGACGGACGAATGCTTCGCCCCACTCTCCATCATTCACTCCGTGGATATGCTGCCAATTTTTTTTCTGACATCCCCCTCCCCTTCATGATTTATGCTTCGCTGAAAAACTACGTGTTGGCGTAATAAAGCCCCCCCCCCCCCCCCTGGTGATGACGTGTAAGGCCAACATGGAAGACTGTGCGAATCTTGAAAAAAATATCACGTTGTGAAACAAAAACGTCAAACACGTGTTTTTTAAAGGTGATGAAACAAGCACTTGATGTGGCCGTTCCGCACGCTCGGTAGAAGGAAACACACCGCGGCTAAAGATCCCGACAACAACGTTCCACGAGAAGACCACAACTACACAATTTCCTACAATAAAGCTGTACGCTTTCGAATCTGATCACTAAAGTCTTATCACTAAAGGCCCGGCT